TAGTAGTAGTAGTAGTAGTAGTACCAGTAGCAGTAGTAGTGGAGTGTTGTACGGCGTATCGCGGTGAGCACCGCCGCCGGTACACGCGGACGGCCCGTGGTGCCGGTATATTATTTTGTAATTTATCATGCGGTATTTTGGTCGCCGAGGCGCCAGACCGCGGAATCTCGTCGTCGACGCTGCGGTGCGCGCGTGTCCCGGTAACAACGTACGTGTAACGCGCAACGCGCCGGTGAACATCGGCGTTTTAATGTCGTAACGCACCGGGCACGGGACCATTGGAAATATTATTTATTATTATTTTCGCATTTTAATAATAATAACATTACGGGAGGCGGCAAATTCTCACCCCCGCGCCGCTCACGTCCATCGCCCAAGGTCTTGGTCTCTATTACCACCGCCGCCGCCGCCGTGACCGCAGCCGGTCACCGCCGCCGCCGCCGCCGCCGCCTCGACCATCGCCACCGCCACCACCACCGCGGCCGCCGCAGCCGCCACCACCACCGAAGCGACCACCTCCGCTAACCGTCATCGCCGTCCGATAACGTCCCGTTTTCGCGTTTTTTGTTTGTCTTTCCCGTTTTCTTGCCCCGCGGCGATCGTCGGTCCGCGGCGTACTTCGCGCGCGCGCCCGCGCTCGATCGCTCGCTCGCGACCGCCGTCGCCGTGGTCGTGCGCTCCACCGTCGGCCAGTGTAACCCGCGACGTCCGACCATGCGCAGACGCCCGGACGACAGCTGCAGCCGGCACGTCGGGACGAGACCGTGAACAGAGGAGATATGCGCTGTGCGCTCTTCGTCACCGTCGCCGTTCTCGTAACTCTCTTGGTCAGTATGCACACATACGTATTTTTCCACATTGCCCCGTCACGCGCGGTCGACGTCGACCGATGTCGGTCGCGTGTCCGGGAAAAAACGATCGACGCGGAGTCTCCTCGGGCCGTCAACCCGGATCCGTAGCGGTTTTTAATTTTTATTTTTTTACGGTTTTCTTATTTTTCCGTAAATCCGTCACCGCGCCATATTTGGCTTCGTGACAATAACGCGCGTCTCCGAAATCCGGTTACGTAGGTGAATTAGGTTTTTCGTAATCGAGACGTCGCGTGTTATACGGTTTGACGACGACTCGGATCGACGATAATTGTGCACAATAACGCGTCTTCAACAATTTATTCGTTTTTTTTTCCTCGCGTACGTATCCGAATGCACTAATTTAATAAGGCACACACACACACACACACACACACACATATGTATACACCCACGTATTACTATCAGGACGATTCTCTTTCATCGGAAATCAGACTATGCGTCTGGGAAAACACGAGTAATCGATGAATAGATAGATCGTTCTCTGAGCCTATTTCGAAAACTTTTTACAATCCTATAACCAATAAACCTGGTCGTCTGGTATTAGGTTCACGTGTTTAGATATTTTTGGGTCAACAGTACAAAAATATTTTTTATTTATTATCCTATAACGAGATTATTTCTCCGAAAACGTCAGTAAACGTAAATCCAATGTTAAGCATCCCTTAAGATATCGCATTCGATCTGCAGGTTGCTGTTTAAAAATCTGCAACAGTATTTTCAAACAGTTCCAAAATGAACAACACGCAGAACATTGTAGCATAGTTCGTGGTATATAGTACCTATATATATATATATATGGAGTACTCGTGTTTTCCTTATTTCCCTAAGTAGATGTAAGCCGATACACATCCAACATATCTCCCCGCTGTTTACATTTATATGAATTTTGTATATTTTTGTGCACTCCGAGTGTATTGTGTAATGTTATCCGGGAAATCATAATTCTGTGGCGCTTCTTTTTGTACGCTGTAGGGATTAAAGGTGTTATTGCTATTTAATGATAGATGCATGTCAGGAAAATGTACGCATTATGAATATTGTTCGAGGGGGCCCTGAATTTTTTTGTTAACGCCGTCCCGTTCGTGGTCAAAACGTTCCCTTGAGCTTGCAGAATGTAATATGTAATAATGTCCGTCAATGTAATAAATAATAACATATAATAACACCATATAATATTATTATAGTTGGTGTTTGATTTCATTGAAACATTAATTGAATCAATTTTATAATGTGTTCTTAGGTGGCTCAAAATATATTTATATGCACTAGCTAAACAAACTGTTTCTTATTTGACTATATCCAACTGCAATTATAAATTTGTGTTTGTTTTCATTAAATTATGGATGATTGTCATGTTCATTTTTATTAAAGCATAATCACTGTTGGCAGTTGAATGCTTAGGATTTTTTCTGGAGCTAAGATATTATAAAAATGCTATTATTTATTTATAAATATAAATACAGTTTCACAATAAATACGATTACAAATATACTTTTTATTTTCAAAGGCAAACTACATTTTAAGTATTTTTAAAACTTTAACATTAAAAGTGATATTAATATATTATAAATATAAATATTATATATTATAATTATAATAATACGGTTAAATATTTCTAGTTTTAAGTTATAATTTACAATGTATAACAATTAAGGTAGAGAACCTGGAACCGAAAAAATAGCGTATGTAAATCTACATGTATACCATTTTTATGCACGATTATATTTATTATATTTCGTTAAATTTAAGAAAAAAACCGAACAACGATTCATTAAAAATTACCGTTCATTTTGTTTACAGATAATAATTAATAAATAACATGAAATATGTATACGGCCGTTATTAAATTTGTATAATTCCAAACGCGTTTTGCGTGCCTTCAAAATACAATATTACATTTTGAACTGTACACGTATTCGTATACTGTATTTGTATAGAATATATTATATATAGACACACAAACGTACATTTATACAGTGTACAATGGTAAATCTTAAAAATTCAACGTATTTCATATTGTTTCAAAACTTCCCCAATTATAAACCCAGTGTAAATCTTAAACATTGTAAAGGCATAGAATTGTAATAAATACGATAGAACGGTTGAAAAAAAGACGTAGGTATGTATATGAAGTATTTATAACATTTACAAGCATTTCGTAACGAGCAAAAATAATTTGTAATCACGTTAGACACATGTGTACGATGCATGTAGTCGTGTATTAAGTGGCGGTTCATGATAATTCTTTGAAAATTTTCAATTTATAACAAGTTTGCGTCCCTCTCGGCCCTAAGATGTAAACGCCATCGTATATTTGTTATCCGCCAGTGCATACTTTTTACAAATACGCATACATAATGAAATGTAATAAATATAACATATCGGCCGCAGGCATTTGTGTGAATATTTATAAATTGTTATGACCACGCGGCTCCAAACTAACTCCATAGGGGTTCGCATGTATAAGAATACGTATGTATATTGTACGTTTATAAATATATATACATTAAAATGTATGCTGTCAGTATGTTATGTGCAACTATAAATAGATAAATATTTAATGATTACAATTTGCCAGTTTTGTTCTTGCACACTTTTTGATGATTATAATTTTTTATTGATATATTCTAATAAAATTATATTTTTTTTTTTCATAAAATTTCTTAGTTCTGATTTAAACTAATCTGATCCGTATCACTCTTTAATTAAGAAATTTGACGTAAAATAAGTAAGTTATATCCTATAAATATTTCATCGTATGAAATGAGAAACGAAATTGTAAAATGTTCAACTTCAAGTGTATTAACCACTTAGGTAATTTAAGTAATTAAAATAATCAGGCAACGACCGTAGTGTTTTATTATTCTCAAAGCAATATATTTGTGTGAGTCCTGGACGCTGTACCGAAAAATAGAAGTTAATGTACATTTCTTATTGTTAAAATATAACTTATTAAAATGTATATAATATATAAACAAATGTAATAAATGTCAAACTAAACATAATATAATAAAAACTTAAAATTAATAACTAAACCATTATGAAGCTGCAGCAGCGTAAATCGAACGATCTACCGCGTACGTAAATCGGCACCGCGATAACGTCATTGGGGTAGACTACTACGTGGTGTTTGACCGCGAAATATTCTTAAACGTTCCGCGACGTGCTGCAAGCATGTGTGTACATGACGTACGAGCGCGTCGAACGTTCTCGCGCGCAAAAAGGCATTCGGTTAATACTACTCAAGGCCGTCAACACACGTACGATGATGGAGTTCTAGACGTTGCGACAATATTGTAGCACATTTCGAATTATAAATTACAAACGTTTTTAATTACGAAGGAGATTTTTTTTTTTTTTTATATATACATGTAACATTTAGGTACCTATTCGCACACGTGTATTCAAATCTCCGTTGCAATACGAGCCATCGAGTGTGTGTGTACCAACTATTATTATATTATACGATCATGTACGTGTGTGCGTTGACGAGTGCAATGTTAAATAGAATAATAATAATAATAAGAAATAAGTTTGAAATTTTTCTTTGACGCGGTCTCATATACCGCACGCATATCTATCCTACAGCTGCGGGGCATTGGAGTGTACGTGTAGACGCGGCTGTGTGCAGTGATCGGTATTCGGCAACCGGTTGTTTATTTTCGAAATAAGGCCGTGAAGTACATATCATATATATATATATATATATATTTGGCAAAACGTCTAAAATTTTTGTTTGTGTTTGAATATTTAACGTGTGTGTGTGTGTGTGTGTGTGTTTGTTAGTGACCCACGACCTAGTCGAAAACGTATTGACGAGACGATTAACAAATCTCGTACGATTTGCGTAATTATCGATGTGGTTGAATTTTTTTTTAAGTAAAAATAACTCGATAAAGCCCATAAGCACATAATGTATCGTGTGTATGCGTGTATAGTATTATGCAGAAACATACGGAAAACGTTTTTTGCTTATTCGGTTTACTAACATATTTCTATGTTAAACGGACCTATTTGGACGAAAATCTTTTATAATTAATTGAGACAAGGTTTTCTATGGAAGGGATTTCACTGACTTATTCGATAAGATCAACACGTACTGATTCACTTCTGGAGATGACGAATATAATTTGGAGCGTATCAGCCAGATTTAGGCCAAAGAAAGTGTCGAAGTTAGTCCACTTAGTTGATTATAAAAGATAAGAGACAATTTACAATCGATTATTGATGCTTCATGTGTATTAATATGTGGACCCATTGCTGCGTAATAATAATATGATTACAACGGGACAAATGGAAATCTAAACGGTTTAATAAAAACTATTTGTCAATTGTCAGTTTCGAACTCAACTCAATACTGGTCCAATATTGTTTTATACAAGACGCATGTCAATGAGATAATATGTATTGACGTGTTGTATAATATAAAAATACTTTTAAATCAATCAAATTATCGATTATATTATTTATTTTTGTTGATTATCCTATAAGTACATGAACAACTTAAATGTAATAAATTATATATTGTTAGATACTTTTGAACATATTAATGATAATATTATTCAACTCGTGTGCGTTCATATAAATATGATTACAAATATGAGTACCTACTATATACCCATATCATAATTAGGTTAGCTGATTTTTATGGACGAATTGCGTTAATTTACAGAAATAGACAATTAAACAAATGACCTAGTTCACTCGCCTTTTATTTATTTCTCGAAAAATTATTTAAAATAAAGCAAGTTGAATTTAGATAGGTAACATAGAACTCGTATATATGTATACAAACACGTAGTAAAACCTTTCCTTATTAATTAAACGCATTATTTGTCTAAAATAATTAGTTGAAATAATATTTGAATGAGTGTTGATATAATTATATGCCACACATGTAGTGCTGTAATTATTTATTACGTTTATGATTAATACGATTACAGGATATACTTTCATTTCGGTATAGATCAGTTCTGTTGATATTTTTCAAGGTATAAACAAATATTATACTCCAATACTTATTACAATTTATTTTAATTATAATATTGTTACATACTCAAAACGATTCAACTCAATTATTTATATAAACACAAAAATATGCGCTTACACTATGTCTACAACTGAGCGTGCTGCAGCAAATGGTCTACTCGTATAACTCGGTTAATTCCATTTTACGTAAATCCAAAGACAAACGCGTGTTGCTATTTCTATATCTATTATATATTATACGTACAATATTGAGTAAAGACAAAAACTTCCACTTTTTTTTTTTTTTTATCTTAATTAAAATTAACAAATGTAATAGATACTTGTTGAAAAATCTACTTTCTACACTTTGTACGAGGTCCCGAATAAGATCTATACTTGATATTAAAACTAGTCGATTGAACCCATTTTTGATTCAGCAGCGTATAATTAAGTACTGATAGTCATGGGATAATATCACAACAATGCGCGTGCACATAAGTAGGTGCTGAAAATCGACACTTATTACACATGAGAACGTACGTGGCACGTTAACGCTATTGCACTCGTATGCACGTATAGCGGTGGCGCAACCAAGATTCATTTCTGTCGGGGACGAGACATTCGAAACGTTAAAGGGCGATGGATTTAATATGTGTACATAACTCATGAGGTTAGAAAATATTAGAATTTAACTGTAACGTATGTTACTCAGACCGTTATAAAGTAACTCCGATTACTTTTTTACGAACTAATTTTTTGTTTCTAAGGAATTTTGTACGATTGAAGCGACGACAGACGACAAAGGCGTTTGGCGTTTGATCTGTTCAGTATATTTATATTCCCTCACTCTCTCTTTCTCTCTTTTTCTATTCTATCGTAATAATAAAACATCGTCGATTTCATGCTGTACACAGGTGTCGCATTGCGCGGGCCGCCCATGGCAGCAGCAGCGGCAGCAGCAGCGACACAAGCGGCAGAGACGACCGCGACCGGCGGCGGCATACGAACCGTCAACGGCCGTAGCGCCGTCCTACGCGGTGTACGATGATCCGCCCGTGGCCGTAGACGACCCGTACCCGTCGTCATCGTTGTCGCCGGAACAGAGCTTACTACAGCAAGGACCGTTGGAACCGGACTACGGGGATCCGGGGCGGCTGTACGTGGAACCGGAACGGGTGTACGCGGAACCGGAGCAGAACTACGAGGTGGACGAGGCAGTGAGTGTGCTGAGCGACGGGCGCGTGCACGGCGTGCAGCTGCAACAGGTGCCGATGACCACCACGTCCCCGAGGAGCATCACCACCACCACCCCGATCGTCACCACCACGACCGCGGCCACCAGCGTCAGCACCAGCTGCACCACGTCGGCTACCGTGGCGGTGGCCGCCGCGGAGACGCGGAAGAGCGGTTACGTGTTGGACAGCAAACACTACCGGAAGTACCGGGTGGAGGAAGAGACGCCCGACGGGTTCATCGTCGGCGAGTACGGCGTGGTCAGCCATCACGACGGCACCACCAGGGGCGTGAGGTACACGGCCGATAGCAGCATCAACCCGCGAGTCATCTACGAAGCGCTGGCCAAGTTTTTGGCCCTCAAGCGCCGTAGGTAGGACGAGAGGCACCACCAACTCGCGGGACCGGCCGCACTCGATGACTGATTTTACCGGCGATACATTATAATATTATTAGAACATATTATGTTGTACAACGCGTTTGGTTCACGATTCGAGACCGTTCATCAATCGTTTTTTTTCCTTTACCCCTTTTTTTCCTTCTTTTTTTTTTCCAAACGAAATTTCTAGTCAGATTCTTCTCGTCGTCGACGCCAATTTCAGCTGGCCTTGAAAGGGAAAAGAAAATCAACTAATACTTTTTGCATGTATAATAATATTTTTCGAATCGCGCGTGCGTGTGTGCCATCTCCACGAACACAACAATATAGTAATGTCAAATGTACTTATACTCGTATATATATATACTTTGAATAATCTGTATCCATGAGCGACGGAAAACAAACAACAATAATTTGGAAAAAAATTAGATTAATTAGATTAATTATAAATGTGCATTTTTGATCGGAATATATGTGCGTAACTTTATACGCTTTGTGCAATAATTACCGTGTTATGGGTTATTTTTTTTCCCCCACCTATTCCTACGGTTGTGCCGGAATCCTCATGTATGTTTCAAAAAAAAGTTTTACTTATTCATTTATTAATAGGTTTCAGCCGATATGGTAATGACATCGAAATAACAGTGAGTTATATTACATTAGGTTATATAATTATATTTAGATATACATTATTAGGTATAGCCTGTTTGGCTGTACTAATTACATATTGATTTGCCTTGTAAAACGAAGACATAATAGTAAACGATTTATATTTTATTTTTTTCGGTTTTACACCGATTAATGCGATCTCATATTGATTGATGCCAGAGCCGTAACTAGACTACTCGAGGCTTGTATGTAAATCAAATTCTCAAGGCCCCTTATAAATTATACATTTTTCAATAGTAAATAAAAAAAAAATTAATTTATAGAGTAGGAAAGACTTTTTAATTTTAAAAGTTTGAATAAAAACCAATACTAAATACCTACCTAAATAAATATGATAATTTAATATTAAAATAAATAAATTATTCTAAACTATTATACCAAAGAAGTGTTAAAAAAAATGTAATATAGTTAACTTCTACTTATATTATTATATATAATAGGAGTTACTGCCTACTTAGAGTATGTCATTAGGCAAAAGCTACTAGTTTACTAGAATATATAATCATTAAAAACATGTTACATAAACAAAAAAAAATTAGCCGTAGAGGGGCGCCTGGCAGACGTGAAACATCGAAACTATTTTCTATGGAAAATATGCAAGTAAGGATGATTTATTAAAAGAAATAAATATGGCATAAAAAAAAATATTCAGTTTTTTTACAGAAAAATTATTCTTTATGTACAAAATTGATATTAATTTAATATCAAAATTATAAAATTGAAAATCACGCGTCAGAAACGTATACGTTTGAATCTGCTATAATTATTCAATAATTCATAATTCAGTCATTTTCATTTTAATAAACGCTGAACCTTAAATAAGCTATAGACAATCAATTCTAAATTTATTTTATCGTTGGTTGTAGTTTTTGTGACATTAATACTTCAAATTGACCCATTTAGAATTATTTATAACATAGATAATATCTATAGATAATCTATAGTTAATAATATATTATATGATGTATATCACTACTTTTATACTGATTTAAACGATTTATTTCATTCATTTTATTTTGCGTAACTCATAAGACGGACGATAATAATAATGATGAGTTATTTGATTTTGGTTTAATTTTTATTTATTACGTACATACCAATATCTACAATATCTAGTAAGTAGTATTAATACAAGTATTCATTATAGATAAAGGCTACCAAGAATCTAAAAAACTGTAAAAACTAATAACAAAAAGTAGTAGAATTTTATAAATCAATAGAATTGTGCTTCTAATGCCATCGACGCGTCACGACATTTTCAATGTGGTGTCGCGGTATAACTTCCGAAATAACGGGTGGCGTTGAACGTGTTAAATAAAGCAACGTATTAACTCTTTCCGGTATGATGGTTACTGTGGTTACTGTATGACACTGTTAGCTGTCTAATGTTTAGTTAGAATAGATTTTCTAAAAATAAATTGGTCGAATGAATTTTTTCCCTTGCATTTAAGGTATCATTTTCATTTGTCATTCTGTGCTGAAAACACAGCCTGTAGCATACAAATTTATAGTGCACTGAAGCGGATTGAGTCGACAAACCACGAGCGATGGGTGGTGACGCATTGCCACTACAATAATTGGCCGCACTCCTGTATCGCGCCATAAGATGTTTCACATCAATACATAAATATTTATTATCAAAACAACTACTACACATTATTTTCATATTTTTTTTTTTTGTCATATTTATATTATAATTTAACCATAAGAACATAATACAATAATCTATCAGGATGCGGGACAAGGAGTAAAGTTAGTAAATAACTTTGATTTCGTTCAAATAAATTATACGAGTATATTGATATTTTCATATTAGTCATTGGACCCTTTGAGGCCTCATAATATACAGTATAATATAATACATAATATTTAGTATGAGGTCCGAGGCCTGTATGTAATGGAGCATATCCGAGTTGGGTCCCAGATAATATTTATGATAAAGATGAACAACTAATTGGGTCCGATTATAAAAACAATAACATACCTACTAGTTCGGTCCGACCATTACGACAGTAAAACCTGTAACTTTCAAATATTGATATACTTGATAATATTAAAAAAATAAAAAATTAATATATTTGAGTTTGTAAAAGCTACAAGTTAGCTAGGGACCTAACTAGACTAAATAAGTGTCTTCGGGACCCAACTAGTAAACGCCGGTGCAATGCGCACTCTGCACACCCGATTTTTACGGCACTGATTGATGCACTATGCTGGATCATTATAGCAGATAACATTATAAGCTTATTTTTAAACAGTTTTTACGCTATTCAATATGATCCGGTGCCTTAATTACATGCTAAAGACATTATGTTTAAAATATTAAACGTAAAATGGATCAATTGAAGTGTAATAATATAGAGACAAATGTACGCGTACGTAATTTTCAATATTATTCTCTTCCCGCTTGCAACATTTCACAAATTCAGCGTCTGCTTGACCTGAATTTCGTGGATACATCTGACATTTTCAATCGAAAATCTATTTTATGCTGACAAAGACGTAGTTTAAACGATGCGTTTTTGGTTCAAACCATATTTTCGTTATTATTTTTACCGCAACCGACGAGTAGAAACATTTGTAGTGTATAGTTTCTCTTTATCATATTCAATATTTTCTTTATAATACAGTTTTTCCCGTCTTTAATACGCCGTGAAAATTAAAGTCGATTTCCACGGTAGGTATGTGTTTATATGTGCGTACGAGAGCGCTGTATGACGTTGGTCACAACGACCTCATTGGATGTCATTGCCGCTGGGCAATACCTATTGGATGGATGATGCGTGTAATAATAATAACACAGCCAGAGGAAGCCGAATGAACAATTTGGAGAGTTTATGTAAAAAAAAAAAGCATTTAATACGCACGGATAGAAGTAATATCATGTCTGTCGAGATTAAATGTTAATATTAAATAATTTACACTGCGCAATACAACGAAATTACATTTATCAATTTTTTTTTTTTCATTCGCTTACAACGTAGTTATGCGATAAATATATAGATTCATTGAATTACGTTTTATAATAGCACTTGAAGAGCGAGTTCCGAGAGATGAATTGATAAAAATAATAAAAATAATGGCTCTGATTCGTGCGCAAACAACACTATGTTTATATATAACTGGAGCAGATGAACTAATGGTTTTATCGAATTATAATTGAATATTTTTTTTCAATTTTTTCAAAAAGTATCGAATACGACAAATGTATAAATTTTTTGGTAATAGGAATTATATATATATATATTTATTATACTTGTTTTTTGTAAAAGATAGGTGGAAAGATGTGGTTGAGGCAGTAATGATCCTAAATGGACTGTAAAAGCTTGAAGAGAACTGTTTTTTTGTAAAAATTATATGATTTGAAGTAGTATTTTTTAAATCACAACATTATTTTTAATTTTAAGGACTAAAACAATATATGTATCGAAAAATTTTATTTCTAAAAACTGAAATTTGAAGTTTTAATGACTAATTTATTATTTGGCTTGACATTAGATTTAACTTTCATCGAGTTGTTCGGAATTAAATATACATGATTTAACTAAAAAAAAAACTTCTAAAAAAACTATTACAAGAGATATAGTAAAAATGCAGTTCAACAACGAGTTAAAAAATTACACATTAATTGACGAACATATACCCATGTAATTTAATTCCAGATCATTTGTATTTTTATATTATGGAAACTATAATAATTCTCACTATATCAAAACTACGTATAAATTGGGATCCTAAAAAAAATTTATTTTGCATGCAATTGCCAAACACATCTTGATTGTTAGGTTCAACATTTTGTTTGGAGTCTATAATATAGTAGGTAGGTACATGTAATAATCGTTCGATTATCCATACTTAGTATAACATTAGAAGTTTATTTTGATTTGTTTTAAAATGCTACATATTTTGACTCAATAAAAGTTGTTATATATACATGTCATACTATGTATATATAAACATATATGTATAATGTATATAGTACTTTTATATATTTTTAAAGATACTTTCTATTTGACCTTTTCACATTATTGACCTTGAAATACGAATTGCTACGGTTATATGCGTTATATATAGGTATATATATATATATATACATGTATGAAATATGTGTTATGTATAAAAATAGAATACTATGTAAGAATATAATTTGGAGGGTTGAAGAAATAAAAAAAAAATTAATAAGCAAGAGTATAACTTATATTTTACATGTAAGACGCTGGCTGTAACATAGACAAATCAAATAATAATTTTAAATCTTAATTAAAAAATTTAATTTATTTAACACTAAAAATGTACTGTCACTTTTGTTGGACAACATTTTATGAAAGATTTTCAAAAACCAATGAACTTAAAAAGAAACTAAAATAATCGATAAAATAAGAATTAAATGTATTATTTGAAAATAACGTCGATATAGAGTTTTAATAAACAATTATATTGCTACTATATTTTATTTGTTACTGGCTTTTAATACACTGAGTGAAGAATTTGGTAAGAAGTTAGCAGGTCCAATTGGATCATAAAATCTGATGCAACTGATTTTCAAGGTCGAAAAATATATCTGGATTACTGATATATTTTTTGCAGTTAATTACATCGAATCTGTATAAGGATATAATACTTAAAAACATGTTTTGTTCTTTATTTTTTAACCCACTCCGGTCGTTCAACTCTGATGAGTGGTGAAAAATATAACGCAAATGAAATTGAAGGTTATTTTTATAACATAAAAAATTGTACTTTATAACTATTAGTGTGTTATAATTATTCAATTATGGTACAGTTAATTATATAATCAATTCATATTTATAATATATTGTAGACACAAAAAATGT